TGATCGCGCCGAAGAAGTACCTGGCCTACTACTGTTCCGGCGAATGTCCGTTCAGACACATGCAGAGGTACCTGCACACGCACCTGTTGCAGCAGGCGCGTCCGTACGGTAACGCTGGACCGTGCTGCTACCCGACGAACATGAGTCCGATTCTGATGGTGTATTTCAACGACAATAAGGAGGTGCTGGTTTCCAAAATACCGGGCATGGTTGTGAGTCGTTGCGGTTGTGCCTAACCGGACAAAGGAGCGATGGCGAGCGACAGACAAGACGAAGACGACAGGCGGCAGACACCACCGCCTGCGAGTCAGCAAAGCGGTCGCCGCGTTTTCACACGCAACGGTATACAATGACACTGTGAGATGCTTCGTTCGGCTGTGGGTCGCTGCCATGGTGCTGTGTGAGCCAGCAAGCGGTCGAAACCCTTCGCGCTGTTCCGTTTTCGGCCATCGGGCATACAGACGCTTCAGTAGTGGTATGAACAGACGGAAAGAAGCGACAGTGGTAGTTGCCGAACACAGCATAGTTTAGACACACAGCTCCGTTCGCTATGTCTTTCGAAAACGGGTAGTAATGCCGCTGCTTCCAACGGTTGGATGTGTTATTTATTTGGCAACCGCTCCTCGTCTCCTCTTCTCCACTTCACTGTCAGTCTGTCACCATCGGAGAACAGCCAAGCTAGGCCACGGCATGGGCCGGGGCGTAGGCCCGGGCCCGGGCCGGGACGTGGCTCTACAACCCGTCGTTTCACAGTTCTTCGTCGCAGCAGCATTCACGGACATACAAAACACCGTGCAAGCGATCAGACAGCCGCGAGGCGATCTAAACCAGAAGCTCGAACTATTTGCTCTTACGAACCGAAAAAATTTGCTGGCAAATTTTTAGGTAACCTTTATATGTCTCTGTCAGTGTCACGAAAACGGGAATGTACAAAGTTTCGTTTGTAAAAGGCGATGGTAACTTTCAAACTTTACTAGTTCCGAATTTGTTATTGATAGATGCAGATGAACCGTTGCTGAACAATAAAGTTTGTCTTATCAGTGACAGCCGTGACACCCTTAAATGTTAGACAATGATGCATTGAGTTCATGATCAGTAGATTAGTAGCTAAAAGTATTACAAGCGGAAAACACTACAAAACAGAAAAACGTATTGCTTACATGACACCGGTCGAATAACGTGGAAATTTAAATAAGATTTCAGGTACTTGATTCTGGGCCCTTTTGTATAAATAGATGATTGGCGAATCCGTAATCAGGAGCTCAAACACAGGAGATGGTAAAACCATTACTGCCAACACATTTCGCTTCGTATACCGTAAATCATCAGAACTTTGCACAATTGACCGCTTGAAGGCGTTTATATCCAACAAGCGAATAGTACTGTAGTTTTCAAATTTGCACATATGCTACACACAATACACTGTTAAGCTTTTTCACCAGAATGTTAACCAACAGGCACAAAACAAAGGCCGTATTAAAAATGAGATCGGATATTTGCTATGCCAACCTGATTTGGTTTATCAAATTTGTGATTATGTTCCAGCTTTGACTAATAACCATGAGATGTGTATTCAGTGCACATCTAGTATTTCATTGCTAGTATATGCAAGGACTCCTTTATCAGCAGACATAATTTAAAATGGTCTTTGCCTATGAGAGATACACTGGTCTGATTAAGTTCCCCTTTGAATGTGGAACCTTTATGATACTTGTAACAGGAGTTTATCAATACAGCAAACCAAGTGAATGTTTTCCCGTTCATTTACGTCATGCATCTGCTTTAATTGTCTGCCAGTTCAATTAGCATCATCCTCAGAACAAAGTAAGTTCGCTGATACGCTTGCTTTAGTAATTTTTCCGCCATGCATCACTGTTGTAACGGAAGCGTACGACATCTATCTTCTGGAGGTTTGATTTGCTGTCAGGCTGACAGTGCAACTTGAATATAACTTTTCCTTCAGATATGAACCATTACCCTCAGAGCAGCAAATATGCAGTGATTGCACATACGTAATACGCCAGAAGAACAAAACGTATTTAATGGAGATTTGGCATCATATTCAACATCAAGGTCATCTTCGTTATCATGATTACACTATTGCCATCATCACACTCTCCGCCTCCTCCTCATCATCATCATGACTAGGAAAGCGTGACCGAAAGGAAGGTTCCCTGATTATATCAAGACTCGTCATTTGTGGTGCAATGCACAAATATCCACTGAAAGAAAACTTCGTGTTCACGAGCTAACACATTCGACCGCTGTCCAAAGGCTCATCACTGATCGTTTAAACATAATTTCTGGTGATTCCCTAACTTCCCTAAATATATGTAACAAAAATAGCCAAATAACAACAGTTGAATAATGTTCTTTTTATGCAAGTTGCTTAATGAGGCTAAAGACAGTTACATATTTGGCGAACTTATGCGATCCTATATTGTGAACTTATCTATATACT